AAAATTTGACTCTCAAAGACAGTTACGGTGTGTGCAGGCAGGCAGAAGAAGACAAAAGTTTAAATATAATTTAAGGTAGCAGAAATAGACACACACACAGATATAAACATGACTGGACACCGAACGACGGTAAAGGAAAAACTTAAGTACTGAATACAAACAAGGTAATTAATGACATCTGATAGACATTAACTCATATTAACAGAAACCATGATGACCAAGTAATGGAGGGAATATGAACAAAGGAGAGTAAACAAACTCAAAGTCCATGATTACTAAACAAACAGAACTCGATGTTGATATTCTGATGACGCACACTAAATTTCATGAAGTTTTGATAAATGGGGGTGCTACAAATAAAAAACATAACTGTTATATTATTGTATGTTAGCTTATATACATTCACAAACTAAAATACCAATCACAGTTGTCAATAGCTTTCAAACTGAGACGTGTCTTATGATGTGGTTTTAACAGAAAAGTCCATCTTGAATCTTCAATGATAGTTAAACTGGAAGAATTGAGAAATTAGAAAATGCCGGGCAGTCTGGTTGAGGAACGACCACTCCCTGATGGTTTAATGTGAATAATTATCACACAGTATATTATACAAGTTTGGTATCATTTGAAATGTCTCAGTGTGACTGGTGCAAAGGCATTATTCCCAAATAAGCATCTCAGCATCTATATCTTGAGTCAGGTACATCTTATACTCTTTATCTCTGATCATTTGATGTTATTGTATTGATTATCGTTAAACTGATTATGAAATGGCCATGATACATTTAACTGACATAATAAATTTTTACATTTGAATTTATTCCAAATTACTCTGAAATTATTTTCTAAAGTAGATTCAGCAAAGTCTTGTGTTTCCGCAAATCTGTGTCCAGGATTAATTTCATACTAGATCCCAGTGTAGATGGAGCGTGAGTCACATGTGGGATTCTAGATTCCTGACTAACTGCTTGATTTTAAGTTGTTATGCAGTTGCAAATAGGGGGCTAGATAGCCTACATACTATTAAGATAATAGAAAGCGTTGTAGCAGCATTATCCTAATGTTCTAGCTATAACCTCTGGTTCTTGTTTGGGCTTTGAGTAAGTTGTTATGGGGACTGTAGGGGGCACCTTTACAATTCATTGGCACTCTTACAATAGACAGCATGTGTGGCAGAGGCATGTTGAACTGCTTTAGCCATAAAAACCTCTAGTTATCTATTAGACTGGCGAGATTTTGATCGTGAGACGGCCGGAGACTCTCTAAGCGACATAGATTCCTAATGAACAAGTAAAATATAAAGTAAAGTGTTAAATACAATAATTAAATGTATTGCTAAACTATTTGCCTACGTAAATAATTGGCCGATAACCAATTGGCAATCTAAACTAAATTCAAGGTTGTGATAAATGGGAGTCAGGTAAATGCTTAAATGGAACTAAATTACTTTGCCACACTAGAAGACAGTAACACGGTTGCAGAGACCACCTGTTTATCAGAAACTGTCGTTGGACCGATTTACATGGGCTTTCAAGGATTTGATAAGAAGAGGTTACCACAATACATGGTCAAAAAATACAACTGACTTGAAGAAATCACTCCCTCTTACTGTTAGATTAAAAGGGAAGTAAAAAAAACCTGTACAAAATGTTTACTGTTTTAAGTAATGTGTGCATATAACATGTGATGTATGTATGGAATCATATCATTTCTACATTTCAATGATTCGCATGTCATAGAAAGTCAAAGGACATTTTTAGATGATCGTGAATATCACGTTGCGGCTCAAAACTGTTTTTATCTGTAGCATTTATCTCAAAGCTCTTTTCATTTTTATAATGAATTTGTAGCATTTCTAACCTTATGCTTGCAGTTTAACATTGAGTATTACACATGAGTATTAAAAATGTGTATTATTGGGATCTGAAATATGTGAACATTTAAACATCTATTAGCATTTCACAGACTTCTGTATACACTAATAAAAACTATTCTGTCAGTTGAGCATACAAATGAATAATGTTTCCATCGAATCTAATTGTGATAAATAAAAAATATATATATAACTTTTTTGCCAGCAATGTCTCTAGCTGCTGTGTGCATATTTTGGTGATGATTGGACCAACATAGGAGGAATTTTAAAAAGTCTTAAAAAAATAAAAATAAAGACAGCTGAAGAAAATGATTGGCTAAATTGAAATTAGAGATCATTTGTCGAGCTTGAAAAATAGAACCTTAAGGTTGAGGTCAACCTAGTGTCAGACAGGTGTGCATACACGACTGAGACCATCCTGGGGGTGTCTGCGTTTTACGGCCCATAAACTTTACCTTCAGTGCTAAAACCCCTAAAGAATCGTGTTTATATTCTAACATTGCTCATCTCTTCTCTCACAAGACTTAAACTGCTGGTGTGGTTTCACTGAAGCTGTGATCCGATTGGCTCTCTCTGCTCTGGTGGGCGTGGCTGCTGTTGCTGTTCTGGTTTATGACATCAAATCCAGAAGTCTTCAACAGAAGAAGTGACAGGAAATGCCATCAAACTCTGATTAATCAGATACTCAGGAAGGTGGAGATGTTCTTGAAAAACTGTAGACATTATATTTTAAAAAATCAATCAGTTGTTTATATCACTTTTCACAATAAAAATCATTCTAAAGCAGATTTTCAACCTTTCAGCCTTACAATATACACTGACTAATCAGAAAATCAAAAGGTATAATTATTATTTTTTTTTTTTTTTTTGTATTCTGGTGTATTTGTATTAATGTAAGATTTATAGCACTATATTGCAAAATAAAATAGTATAGTAATATTATTGTCCCTGTTTCATCGTAATATATTAATGACAGCACATAAAATGTGGTGAGATCATTTGGTGATGTGAACAGACAGTCTTTAATTAAATAATTTATTTTGACTAATTATACAGTATTACTCATGTTTGTTAGAGTATTTTATTTTAAATTCGTTTTTCAGCTCCAGACCTTGTGATCCCCATTCGATATCTCCCCATTCAAAACACTTAGATGCTGATGAGTTGAAGCAGGTGTTTTAATTAGTGAGACATCAAAAACATCCTAGAAGGTGCAGAGCTGGAGTTCAGAAACACAGAATTGGTAGACATGTTATTTTAACCCTCTGGGGTACTTCAGTCATTTCTGACCGGTATATTTTATGGTTCTTGGTATATGAACACACAAAAAAATGGGGACATGATTTGAAAAGTCTAAGTGGTCGTAAAAAAATAGTCACACTCAGGACCTTCCGGACAAAATGAATGGGAAATTGACAAAAACGCAAAAAGTCTGAGAATTTTTGTGTGTACAATCTACAAATCGGCCACGATGCAGAAAAAGTTTTCAACAATGAAGGGGTGACACTCTAAAACACCAAGAGTGCAAAACAGACACACTCACCCAAACACACTTTTTATACACATTCACACCAATGAATTTTGACCTACCATAGGAAACCAATGGGAAATTGACAAACACAAATTCTCTACAAATTGGCCACAATGCAGAAAAAACATCAATAGTGTAATAATAATTAATATAATGTTTAAAAATATTAATAAATTAATGTTTAAAAATTATAATAATAATAACTATTAAAATATAAATAATAATAAGCTGTGAAAAGCATTTCTGTTTATTTTTTATTGAATTGTAATGTTACCTGTAACAAAATGCTTTATCTGTATTCAGGTTTGACTGTAGTAATAATGCAAAAACATGTACACTTCACATCAAATTTATTGATTTTTTTAATAAACCATGGCAAAAAGTATTATTTGAGGATAAAAAAAAAAAAATACATTCAAATCCACATCTTAAAAGTAAGTAATTTTGTACAAAAACAACTCACAAGCCTCTCCATAGAGAGCTATGGCTATACAGCTGGTTACACCGTGAAATGACATGTTTTATTTTATTTTCTCTCAACAGATCTGACTTATCTGACTTCGAAAATTGGATTTAAAAGGTCTGGTCTCTGTAATAACCTGAAATACTACAATAATTTTAAAAATATTTAAAAAAAAATTAGAGAACATTTTTTTTGGTATTATTTTCAATGGCAAAAATGGACCATAAATATTGCATAAATATTCATAAATATGGCATCATATGTGATTTTCCCCAAAACAGTTAAACACAAATCTGGTCCAAGAGCATTTTTTTATGCATTATTGATTTTTATTATCTAATTGACTTTATGACTTAATTTATTATCTATAAAAACCCACAACAAAAACGCTGTGGTTAAAAATTAAACATTTTTTTAATTGTTAGTCTATGCTTTTAGTGTCAACACATTCAAATGAGACAAATAACTCCAATCACTTAGATAATGACAGTAATTTAACATTTAAATCTTGGAAAGAACACCTTCTCATTTCATATTTTTGTTGGTAAAACATCCATTTTCTGGACCTTCTTGGTGTGAGGGGACAACAACTACTGAAAATAATCAGAACTGGATGTCAATAATATGCAATTTGATAACATGAAATATTCACAAACCCTTACACCTAACCTCTTAAAATAGCCTTTAGGCTACTGAATAGAATGATTGGGGACATTAACAGTAACTCAATCGTAGTGGCGTGTGTAGCCAACCAACGTCGACGTGAGCGATACAGAATCCGTTTATGTCTACTGGATTGACACGACAATCCTCGATAGAAAACGGATGAACAGTTCTATTTCTGTTGTAGCCTATGTTCAACACTTAGCATACTTCTGAAACAAAAAAAAACATATCCTATTTTCTACGTTCTGTCGCGTGCAGTGTTGACAGTTTTGAGCTTGTGCAGCACTGTAGACGCAGTACGTGATTACTTGGTAAAAGTAGCCTATTCACTGAAATAGGTCTATTGTCTATGAAAAAAAAAAAAAAACATCTGCAAAAGGAGGGAGGAGTTAAATCACTAGCTGGAGTTTCAGTAAACTGCTATAGACAGACCGGCAGCTCTGTTAACTTCAGCTCATCCAACACGTTGAACGCTCATCCAAAGAAAATGTTTGACATGTTGATATTCTGTTTGTGCTCGTGGAGTCTGAGTGGTGAGTAGCCTATTTTTATGCCTTCGTTAGTGTTTATAATATCTTGTCAAAACGTACACGGATCTGTTTCCACCACCCATTTCATGTTTTATTATTAGACTAATAGGCAACTCAAATATCTCTGTTCATTATTATTATTATTTTCAAAAAAACATTAATATAATGTACCCTTTACAAAGAGAATTGAAGTTTTTTAGAAGTAATTTGCAGTTTTTGTTAAATTTAGAAAAATAGGCTATTCCAGAAGGCCTGGATTACAACTTTCAGTTGTACTACAATAATACTGCAATATAACAGCAGTATTTCTGAAATGAAGTAGTAGCTACTAAAATACTGCAATATAACTGCAGTATTTCTGACATGAAGTAGTACTACAATAATACTACAGACAGTATAAGGTATCACTGCACCGATAGTACTATAATACTGCAATAGCAATAACAATAATACCGAATGCAATCATAAAATGCAATCATAAAATGCAATCATAAAATGCTGTACAATACCACTGAAATACAACCAGAATATCCAGATTAAGTTTTATTTTCACACATCTGCGATGAATTAAGGTACAAAACAACAGTGAATGTCTCAAACTGCAATGCAACAAATAATGTGTTTTTACTTTTTTTTTTTTTTACTTCAAACAACAAGCTGGGAGTTAGACAATGTATTTAAAGTGTTTATTTACAAATCATGCATATATCTTTCCCCACATTAATCAAAGAAATAGCCTTTTTTTTGAAGAGCTTATTCTCATTATTCCACTTTGTTCTTTTAACTGTCTTCATCTCAGATGTGGAAACACGATGTTGGATGTAGTTTTTAAAAACAAACAAAAATAATCAGAGACACTCTTTTCAGTTACACTCTTCACCACAGGCATATATATATATATATATATATATATATATATATATATATATATATATATGCAGATTCATTAATATATATATATATATATATATATATATATTAATGAATCTGCAAGTTAATCTCTTAAAGGAACATACTGCCGTTTTGTTTTAAATAGGGGTTATTCTATGGAATTAATATTGGGCCATAATTAAACAAATCCAGCATTTTGCAAACAAACTCGATCTGCTTCGCAAAGGAAAACTCGACTCGCAAACAAACAGAAAGCAATGTACAAGTACATAGGTCAATTTGAGCGAAAATGCAGTGTTTTTATGCAATATAAATGTGCCTAATATTTCACAAATAAATACAAACCATCCTACAAATTGCATGTAACCTTTGAACGAATAGTGAAAACAAATGATTATCTGTCAGTTATGGTTGTTTGAGAAAATTGGCTTTTACTCTCGGCACGATTTTCTCACAAATGCAGTTGAGCAACTTCCTCTTGTAAACAGCAGATGGCGCTAAGCCAGATGGGTTAATTTAGCCTAGTCTCCTGGGAGAACCACTGATTTGAAACATGTGCTTGCCTTTGCATACAGCTGTGGAAAATCACCAGTGAACAGGTGTGTTTCTGTCTCACTTTATCTATAATTAATATTTTGAGGTTTTCTTTTGCAAAATGTTATTACAGACAGAAATCCACATTTAGTCCTTAGTAGCACTTCACTCTTTCTAGCATGGGGGGAATCTATAAACTGAAAGCTCTGCCATCATGTTGCTTTTGTATATTTTTGTAAAACAAAAAACAAAAACACTTACATTTACTGAAAGAGTCAATTTCTTTTGTTATCCATAAATGAATTAGAACATTTCATTTAATTGAAAAGACTGGGAGTGGGAGGGTTTCAATTGTCCAAAATAATAATTTGGTCACTGCATACGTACGTCACAGGCAGGTTAAGAAACAATTGTATATTGTTTGTTTAGTTCATTCATTATTTTACTACATTAACAGTTAAGTTGACTGAATTTCAACTAAATAGCCTATAGCCTTCATAAGTGGGACTCTCCTTTTAATTAAATTAAATGTTCTCATTCATTTATGATGAACAAAAGAAATAGATAGTCCAGTGAATGTAACGTTTTTACAAAAATGTAAAAAAGCAACATGGCAGAGCTTTCAGATTATAGATTCCCCCTATGGGCAGTGACGTGCGGTATAGATACAGTCGGTTGGTCTGGGAACGCCCCCGGGAACGCCCCGTCACGTGATGTGAATTTAGCCCGTGGGGGAAAACATTGAAATACATGGGACAATCATGCCAAAGAGTTGCTGTGTCGTTTTCTGTACCACCAATAAACTAACAAATTATAAATTGAAGTTCTACAGCCTTTCTTACATACATACAGAACCGGATAGGAGGACAAAATGGCAAAATTAATCATATCTTATTAGATTATTGTGTGAGTAGAGATCTCTGTGTGATATAATAGTAGTAGATGTTTAACTCGTATTAGACAGTGGGCCAGATTTGTCTGACGTTACATCCCTTACGAAAAAGAACTATAGTAATCCTATGGCTAGTATTCTATAGTAGTATAATACTTCTGTGATGTTCTTTAATACCTCTATACTTCTAGGCTATGTCCCAAAATACTATAGTATTCCTATAGGATTAACGTTACTATAATATTTTGTCCTAAAATACTACAAGATTCCTTTAGTTGTTTTTCATAAGGGATGTCTCAGTCACATTAGCGTTATCAGCTGAAGGTTATCAGACTGCAGTCTGTGAGAATTCGGATAACTGTCAGCAAAGTCCCTCTGCAACTTCGTAGCTACTAACTGATCACCGTTTTACAAAAGGATTAATAGTTTGGAGTGAAGCATACGTACAATTGGTGACATGGTTTTATGGACTTATAGTAACTTATATGCAAGTTGATTGAGTTATAGGCTTGTGTTGCCAGTAGCTTCCGCGATGTCTTACCTGGAGATTCAACCAGATAACAAGAGTCTAGAAACGACACCTCCGGCCATTTGGTTGGGTCATGGGTCACCCAGTTTTTAATTAAATAAGGGCAATCATAACCTATTACAGTTCATTTTGCAATGTACTGTTGCCGGTCGGCAGGCATAAATGACTCGCAATATGACATTTTTGTCATTCAAATACATACGATGGTCGCACTGCTTTCCCCCACGCCGACCACGCCCCCAACTATGACGCGTTTCCGACTGTATGCCATAGCCACGCCCCCTCCACTCACTTGGTCAGGTGCGTTCACGTGCCATGGAAAATATGATTTTTATGACGGCAAATCAAAGTCAAAAAGAACCGAGCGCACAACCGATGCTGGCGCGCAGTAAATGACTTTCGCGAGAGGAAAACATATCCACACGCGAGGAAACGGGGACTCACAAGCTCATTCATATCCTGTGTGCGCTCGTGACATCTCCTCAGTATGGAAAGCCAAAAGGGTCAAATTTCGCCACTATCCAAACGCGTTTCATTCTCAAAACGCCGGCGTTTAAGACGAAAAGACGCCGCAAATTACGGCGTATTGTGGTACAAACGGCGTAAATTACAGCGTTTACAAAGCAAAGAGAATGAAACGCGTTTGGATAGTGGCGAAATTTGACACTTTTGGCTTTCCATACCTTTGTACGCAATACAAGCCGTCGCGCACACGCGCATGATCATTCCACACGCCTTCGCGCTTGATCTGCTCTTGCCTGCTGCGCCTGCTTTTGCTCGCTCGACAAAAAAATTTTTTTTTGACAGTCGAGGGGCGGGACTCCCCTTTTCCGGAAGTCAGTTGTGATTGGACGCCTGTCCAATGACTTGTAATTCACTTGACTTGAGACATCACTTAAAGCTATGGTATACGATGTTAAAAATCGCTCGAGACGGTAGGGAAGTTTTAAAAAACTCATCCCGCCCCTCCACACACTCCCCCTCCCCTCTGTGCTACCTGATCCCTGACGTATGTCACGTTTGAGTTCACGTCAACGCAAGATTAGCAACACTCCCCACCACCATTATAATACTACTAGTATTGCTAAGGTTTTCAGTAATTGTTATAGCAGCATCTTGTTTAAATTCCGATCGGCTTGAACAGAAACCTCGAACAAGAAATATAATTACTTTGACCCGTGATAGGCGATGCTAAACGTCTCGGTTACGGATGTAACCCTCGTTCCCTGAGTAGGGAACGGAGACGTTACGTCAGAAGTGACGGAGAATGGGGGTTTCGCATTGAAAGCCAATCCTCTTCGAGTATTTAAAAACGAGCCAATGGCATGAAAATGCCTTGGGGCTGCGGAATTTGCATAGCGTATCTCCGCCACACCCCGTGGGTATAAAAGGAGGAAGTGAACGCAACCGCAGTATGTCTTCGCTGAGGAGCCAAGACTGAACACCGGCGTCTACCCAGCGGTACAGCAGAAGTGGCAGGGAGACGTAATGTCTCCGTTCCCTACTCAGGGAACGAGGGTTACATCCGTAACCGAGACGTTCCCTTTCGTAGTCACTTCGAGTTACGTCAGAAGTGACGGAGAATGGGGGTCTGTGCCATCACGCCATCTTCAAGCTGTCTTCCAGTGCCCTGCGAAAGTCTGGACTCCTGACAACTTAACCCAGGAGAACTACTTTGACATAGGAATTCCAAGATACACTAGGAAACATATCCCGGTAGGGACATGCAACCAGATGCCTACCGAAGGAGGACTTAAGAATACACATATGGCCCCGTAGGAACTACATATGGAGATCACTGGAGCACCAACCTAAGGGTGGCTAGAGACTTAACTCAGAAGTGGCAGATGGCTTGCCAAGGGAAGACACATGCTCAGAGAGGCTTACAGTGGAAAATACACATGAGACAGTTACCGGAGGGAACCGTGCACATGGAGGCACCTAGCCAGCACCATAGCAACAGCAGTGGTGCCCATATCATGGGTGCTGGAGGACTCAGGGCTTCAACGGAAGACTCAGCTGAGGAATATCGCACTTATCCAGTCCGAGGAGTGGAATGGCGAGCAAGCGAAGACACCTAAGCGGGTCCAGTAGTGGCGGAAGCGAGTACGTGAGAGGACACTGGCTCGATTCGCAGATTATAGAATCTTGCGAAGG